AGTTTTCTTGATCAAATTGCAGAAATTCGTGAATGTTTACTTTCCATAAGCATTCTGGCTTGATTTCGTATTAATTTCCTTTATTTCTTGACGTTTTAAGAAAATAGTGAAATCCAATATGCCTGGTCAAATGACGTTTGTTCGTGCCAAGAACTATGAACTGAACAGGAATGCGTTGATTCTCGTTATTTCGCCTTTGGAAAGTAACTTTGAGAGAGCAGCTGCAGGAGATGGAATCACTGTGCTATCCTTCCGCCGATTGCTCCAATTTCCTAGTGTTATTCGCCGGTGCGCATTTAAACTACTGGCTATCTTCCGCCGCCTCACAGTTCGTAGCCGAAGCAGTTATGGCATGCCTGAAGTTACAGCCGTCCTAATAACACAGGATAATTCTGCAGCGTTTCTGATTTTGCGGCAACAACTTCTACAAATACGTTTAGACAACTTCTGCATTGAATTAAAGGGAATCCAATGGAAGAACAACAGTCGACCAATTAACACAGCATCTGGACTTTGTAACTAACATTTCGGAATCGAAGATTCTCTCCGCTTTTGTACCAAACTCGATAACACAGAACCTGCAGAAATTCTTCCAACCGTCTTCCTTCTTTTTACTCCCTATTTTCGAACTCTTCTTAAGAGAGTAGAGAACATTTCCAAGCTAAAATAACCGCAAATGGTTGTTATGTTGTTATGATGAGATTTTCTCATCGGGAAATAATCTCAATTGATTAGACCCCGACAGGAAGTCAGTGACGACAAGCGCGAGCTAGTTTCCGATTGGCAAACCACTTGACAATAACTGACAGTTGATGAAATCGGACTACATCGAAAGTGGTGGACGTAATGCGAAAAGCCTGGTTCTTGTAGCAGGCGTTCCTTCCCCTTCTTCCTCGCTTTTTTGCCTCCCTTCCTCTTCCCCGTTTATGCCTGCAAAGCAGGCTATCCGCCTACGGCAAATGAAAACTTTCGGTGGTGTTAACCCTTTAATTTCAGTCTTAAGTTCAAACTGTTATTTCCTCTTACTGACTGCAATCAGTTATTTTAATGTCACTTGTGAGAATTCGGTAGTTCATCAAGACAATATCACTTAGTTGATGATTTTCTTTCTTCTCGCCTCCTGATTATGTTGGTATTGAAAAAAGAAAAGAGCTTTTGACCACTACTTTAAGAGACCTCTCCAGTGTTTGATAGCGCTCGAGTTATAACGATCATCTTTAAGGGAGAACATCGCTCCTAATATTATCTCTATACATTTAATTTACAGAGCCTAGCTTGACATTAATGGTGTGGTTACTTATACATGGCAGTAAGGTTCGCTAGGATGATCGCAATTATTATAACTGCCGTTCACTGAAGGTTTAAATTCTGTTCCTGCGGAGCAGTTTTCATGTTGAACAGCTTTGCCATCATTGTAACACCGATAGAAACGAAAACAACTGTTTGGGTCTTTAAACCAGAAATCACCACTTTCCAGGGGACACTGGAAGACACCTACAAAAGATACAAAGACACAAATGGTCAGCTTTTAAGTTGTAACTGGCTGGAAAATTACTAAGGTATATCGTAGCTGTTACACAGAAAACCAGGCTTCGAAAACTTGGAACCTCCACTAAAACTTAACCAAGATTACAATAAATACAGAAACTCAAAATTGCAAAGTTCTGAACATGCAAATAACGCGCTGTGCGAGCTATTACCAATTCAGATTATAGAGCACATTCTGCTCCTTTATTCTCCAAGTTAGGAATTTTAGACATTTATCAAATCAACACGTTTCAAATAGCTAAATTTATGTGCTATTATCATAATAACCTGTTGCCTCCATTGATTTTCACCTTGTTTTTTACAAGACAGTCAAATTCATGGCTATAGCACCAGAACAGCCAATAATTGTCGCGTGCATCATTGCCGGACTAATCTAAAAGAATTCACAATTCTTTACCAAGGTCCAAAGATCTGGAATTCCCTTCCTGTTACAATCACTTCATTGTCAAGTTTTCCCAATTTTAAGAAAAAACTGCAAGAGTTTTTAGTAAAATAATTACTGAACTGGYAAAGCCGCACACTGTTGCACTATTTATGTAACCGTATTGTTACGTACGAGGTGGCCTCAACTAAAAGCCTGATGGTTTCTAGAGGTCACCTCGCCTCACATTAAAATATTTATAAATACTGTACATTATGTAAAAAGGCAAAATAAACGGAATGAATGAATGAATGAATGAATGAATGAGAGTCACCCTCTCCTTGACGCTCGAGTATCATTATTTCAGGGTGCTTTGCGTAGCTCCACTTGGTTGGTTTTACATGTACTGAAGTAGATTAATCAGTGTTACAGCATCACCACGAAGATACATTTTATCTGGACAACAAGACTATCTTTCTCTAGGTGGTCATTTCTTATAAATGAATATATAAATATGTCTTTCCGGACATATAATTATAAAACAGAATGCATACTTACTTCCATCACTCGTCGCTACAACAATAGGATCACTGGCAGGTCCATTTCCTTTGCCATTGGAGGCCAGCACAGTGATGGTGTAGTTTGTGTTCTTTGTGAGATGTGTCAGGTCTGCAAAACGTGTTGAAGGACTTGATACATCTTTCTGTTGTTGTCCTGAAGAAGTGCCTGAATGGTACCTAATGATATAACCCATGATATCGCCATTTCGGANTTAATGGTGTGGTTACTTATACATGGCAGTAAGGTTCGCTAGGATGATCACAGTTATTATAACTGCCGGTCACTGAAGGTTTAAATTCTGTTCCTGCGGAACAGTTTCCATGTTGAACAGCTTTGCCATCATTGTAACACCGATAGTAACGAAAACAACTGTTTGGGTCTTTAAGCCAGAGATTACCACTTTCCAGGGGACACTGGAAGACACCTACAAAAGATACAAAGATACAAATGGGCAGCTTTTAAGTTGTAACTGGTTGGAACATTATCAAGATATATCGTAGCTGTTATACAGAAAACCAGGCTTCGAAAACTTGAAGCCTCCACTAAAACTTAACCAAGATTACAATAAATACAGAAACTCAAAGTTCTCAACATGCAAATAAAGGGATATGAAGTCACCCTTTCTTTGACGCTCGAATATCGTCATTTCAGGGTGCTTTGGATAGGGCCACTTGGTTGGTTTTACATTTATTGAAGTAGATTAACCAGCACCACGAAGATTAGTTTTACCTTGACAACAAGACTATCTTTCTCTAGGTGGTCATTTCTTATAAATAAATATATAGATATGTCTTCTCGGACATATTTAATTATAAAACAGAATGCATACTTACTTCCATCACTCGTCGCTACAACAATAGGATCACTGGCAGGTCCATCTCCTTTGTCATTAGAGGCCAGCACAGTGATGGTGTAGTTTGTGTTCTTTGTGAGATGTGTCAGCTTTGCAAAACGTGTTGAAGGACTTGATACATCTTTCTGTTGTTGTCCTGAAGAAGTGCCTGAATGGTACCTAATGATATAACCCATGATATCGCCATTTCGGAAACTTTATGGCACCTCATCCCACTTGACGCCGATGCTGTACATAGTTCTGGTAACTGCTCTAACAAACTTAGGAGGGGCACTGGGTCCTGTCGGAAATTAACATCACAACGAAGCTCCGGCGGCCCGCAGGCCACCAAGCGGAGCCCCATACTTATATAGGAAAGAAAAGGAAACCTATGAATTGATTTTTCCATGGTTATCATGGCTAGCGTTATTGCTCGTGGGCGCTTGCGCACGATGACGACGGCGGAGTTGCCCAAGATAGCGCTGGCCGTACTCCAGCTAACAGGTTGACAGAGACATGCAACCTCGGTTTATAGCGTCCTTCTTTTATATTAGAGATTCATGTTCTGGCCAATTGACACCTGTCCAAACAAGGTATCTACTGACCAGTGTCACGTGACTATATCGCAGGCTCAAGTTTTGAGCTCATCGAGGTCGCGTGAGTTTTTTTTTTGAAGTTGACTGCTTACTAAGTGCTGGTTTTCGATTGGATCGCCGGTTCATGTCAGATTAACTTGTTGTAAACAGGGCAGGATTGTTCGGAAGCCGCTTAACGCTAACCCAGGATTAAAAGTTAACCGAATAATAAATTTTTCTTTGTATACAAATGTTTTTCACTGCTTTTGTTTTGTGTATTTTGAGATTATTCACACTCAAAACAGAAGGCCAAACAATATACAGAAAACGTCACCACAAAGTTACAAAACTCAGATCAAAATTCTCGCTTATCCTGGGTTAGCTTCATCGGGCTCTGAACAGCCCGGCCCAGGAGTTTTTGAATTACAGACAACAATTTGGTAATATAGTTTGCATCTAATTGTATATATTTCTGAGTTAAGCAAAACCTTACATAAGATTAAGTTAAGATCCACTGACCTTTACTTCTGAATTTTCCCTTTTTCATCGACATTTATCTATCACATTCATTTATCTGTCACATCACCTTGTTCTAAAGCTTATGGTAAACTCAGTTTTCACGGAAACCTTACCGTCACAAGAATGAACATTGCATTCTCCAGTCTCTTGCGTGTTTCCTTCACAGGATGCTGTGGAACAAGTACGAGTCCTTTTCCTGATACCTCCTCCACAAGTCACAGAGCACTCGTCCCAGGCCCCGTAATGTGACCAACTGCCTTGAACTGGTCCTTGGGTATTCCCTGCTAAGTAATTCCAGCAAATTTAAATTATTTAAATTTGAATAAGTGAAGTCTTAATTTCCGCCAGATTCAACAGACGTGACTCTTTACAGTCAAATCCTGTATGAAAGCATTTAGATTAGTACAATTTAAAATTTACACAAGGCGCCGATGATCAAGAAAAAGTGGTGAAGAATTCAAAATGACCTTGAAGAAGAAATCGATTCCCTGCAAAGTTCTCAAATAAATCGATATTTTTCAATTGCTGGATTTTTATGGGAGTATAAATAGACATCAGAATGAATTGATAAAAATTTTACCTGATAATTGCTGCGTCTTGGATTTGTTTTCAGCCCAAGTACAGATGGTCTTGTCCTACATTAAGTTGAGCGGAATGATAAAAAGTTCTTAATACTACAACTGCTTCTCAGCAATCGTTTTAAAATGAACAACTGTTCAGCCAGTATTATACAATATAACAGAATTAAGCTAGAATCTGCCACAAGGGTAAGGTCCACATGTAAATGTTAAATTCTCAGGTATCAGCATAATTTTTCTCAGAGTACTCAGTAATAAACACTCCTTATTTTTACATATGTATATCACAATGTTCATATATTTTCCAATGCAAGCCTCCTGGGAGCTGGGAAAAATGCAAAATAAGAGAGATCACCAAATGAGTTTTTTTTTATTCCACTAAACAGCAAGTTCCGGCAGAGAAAAACAAAGGCTCGACGTGGCCACCTAAATGCCCATTCGTCACTTATCTATCAAAGCCTTAACAACGAACAACCAATACAGGTGTTTTCACTCCAGTTATCGATAAAATATGTTTCATTTTATCTCAGAATATCCTGCTAAAACATAATTTTAACAAGTCATGATTTTGAAAATATTCAGATTGCAGGGTAAGATTCCACGGAGTGATATGAAGTGCACAGGATAAATCTGCATTTCGCGCTTGACCACGTTTCTCAGCTAAGAAAATTTTGGCTAGTTGTCAGGTATCAGTTGAACTTCATTAAACCTCCCGTTTTATCACAGAATCAGCCCTCGTTTAATAATCTCCTGCCATTTACAAACTTCAGTATTTTTGACACCTTATACCGACAAATACGTAAAAGTTGAATAGTAAGTGGACCAAATTATAGAGTAACAGTGTTTCAAAAAGTCCGTCTTGTTGGACTAGAACTACTGTGTCTGAAGAAGAGCAATAAAACTGTCCAAAATGTCGCGTTTTAAGAGCACTTCAACCTCAGATAAGTCCAGTGTCGAACAAGATTTACTTTAGATAAATATTGTAACTGGTAACATTTGTTCTTAACGAAAACAGCTGTAACGGATTAGAACTGCAAACGTACCTTGCTTTCTCTCATCTGCTGAAAAACAAAACCCTTCGCGTAAATAAGAGAGCTGTGTCTGTCGCAAACTTCACAGTCATTCAATTCACACAGACCGTTGGCGCTTGCTGATCTGTTGTAGTTGTAGGAGATGCATCTTGGTTCATCATGACAGGCCTGAATACAGTTGAACCAGTCACTGGCAAATAACTGTTGAAAAACATGGCCGACCAAGACATGATTGTTTTCTGAGATCGGTTGAAATGCCAGTATATTTGGTTGTTTTAAAAATTGTAGGAGTAAACCAAGATAAATGAATTTCTTAAACATTTTCAAGCACGTGCAAGGAATACTTGCAATATCGTACAATGTTTTTCTTTTTTTGGAAATGAACACAACTGATACGACCGACAATTCTGAGTGATGGATGAGAAGATGGATTTGCTACGAATTTGCTCTTTATATATTAGTCCAGTGTTGACTTAAGCAACCTAATAAGACAAGTTAATAGGTCGGCGCTGACTCTGTTTGACTTTTATTTTGGAGAATGCATCCACCTGCCTTCTGCTTTGGTGATAATCACTTTAACAATCCTTGCTTGACACAACTAGTCCTACTTTTTAGTGAGGAAAAATACATTTACATAAGAAAATTATTTAGTGAATTTATTCGCAAGCAAACGGACGCTGCTTGAAGGCCTCTTTTTAAATTAAGACATGAACTGGCATAGTTCAGTACTGCTAAAATGCAGGTAGTATATTAACGTCGATGGACAAAAGCAAAGAAAAATATAGACGATAAAATCACTTACCGAAACAGTGGAGTTTGCTTGAAAGTTAGAAATTTTTAACGTACGCTTGTTTACAATCTTCCCCTTAGCAGAAGGTAATACGAATCTTAGGGCTACATGAAAGTAGAGACAA